ACATTCTCTCTCTCTCTCTCTCTGTGACACATTCTCTCTCTCTCTCTGTGTCTCATTCTCTCTCTCTCTCTCTCTGTGACACATTCTCTGTCTCTCTCTCTCTGTGTCTCATTCTCTCTGTCTCATTCTCTCTCTCTGTGTGTCTCATTCTCTCTCTCTCTCTGTGTCTCATTCTCTCTCTCTTTCTCTCTCTCTGTGTGTCACATCCTCTCTCTCTCTCTGTGACACATTCTCTCTCTCTCTCTCTCTCTCTCTCTCTCTGTCACATTCTCTCTCTCTCTCTGTCACATTCTCTCTCTCTCTCTCTCTCTCTCTCTGTCACATTCTCTCTCTCTCTCTCTCTGTCACATTCTCTCTCTCTCTCTCTGTCACATTCTCTGTGTGTGTGTGTATGTCACAGTTTTTCTCCCTCTCACCCAGCTCCGCTCTGATATCTCTCCATTCCTCTCTGTTTCTATCCCACTCTCCGATCTCGAGGAGACTCCGTTCCCAAACCGCCGCCATCTTGCCGCACAGCCCTCTGGGAGGCGGCCTTTCCCGCGCCAGTTTCGTTAAAGCTGCACCAACCCGCTCACCATTTACAGCTGCACAACCTGAATTCCCTTAAAGCGACGCGAGCAGATGCAATGGCGAGGCTGAGGCGTTTAAAATCCCAAAATGTGAGCTTTGTTGCTGGAAAGCATGTTCGCTTCCCAGGCTGGAGTCACATTCTCCTTTCAGTTGCCACCTCCAGGTTTGCTCATCACAGATGACAGCCTATCTTGGTACAGAAATGTTTATGTTTCAACCAGCTGCTCACCTTACTCAGGACCTCATAAGGTATAATCTCAGGATTACTTTCACTGCCAGTCACTCGTGTGTGCATGAGCAAAATGATTGATCAGTTAAATACCCAGAACTGGTAAGGCAAGACAGAACCGGCAAGGGTGCCTGAGAGGCCAAAGGACTAAAAGGGATAATATGAACGTTCAAGTAGGTGCTAAGTGAGTGAACACATTTTGTGGCATAGAAGGCCCACTGTCAGATTTCTGAGGCATTGGCACTAGTTCTGGGGCAAGTGAGACCTGTACAAGGTGGAACTGAACTGATATTTTCACAGATAACAAGGTGTAGAGCTGGATGAACACAGCAGGCCAAGCAGCATCAGAGGAGCAGGAAGGCTGACGTTTCGGGCCTAGACCCTTCTTCACCAAAACGTCAGCCTTCCTGCTCCTCTGATGCTGCTTGGCCGGCTGTGTTCATCCAGTTCTACACCTTGTTATCTCAGATTCTCCAGCATCTGCAGTTCCTACTATCTCTGATATTTTCACAGGCTCTGTCAGGGTACATTTAAACGTGCTTGTTGGAGGGGTGGGAATTTGAGGGGTTAACCCAAAATTGGAAGAGTGAACTTGGTAGCAGGAAGCTGAAAAGATGCGAGGGAGACTATAGATCAAGAGAAAGAAAAGTGTGTGTCTCAAAAGCAGAATGATGTCAAAATGACAAAGTTAAGGACACTCTAACTGAACGCATTCAGCATTTGCAACAAGATAGACAATCTAAAAGCATAAATTGAGATCTGTGGGTACAATCTAATTGCTATGACAGAAACATGGTGACCAGAACTGGGAACTGAACATTCATGGATATTTATGAAGGACAAAGAAGCAGGAAAAATGGTGGAGTTGCACTGATAATGAGGAATGGGATCAGTACATTAGTAGCAACGAATCTCAGTTCAGAAACATAATATGGGGAATCCGGTTGGAGCTAAGAATCAGCAAGCATTGGCTGGAGTTATTTTTGACAACCAAATAGTGTGGGGGGTAGTGTTAATCAGGAGATGGGAGATTATTGTAGTATGTACAACAAAGTTATCATCATCGAATCCCTATAATGTGGAAGCAAGCCATTCCGTCCATCGGGTCCACACTGACCATCTGAACAGTATCCCCACCCAGATTCACCACCTACCCTGTCCCTGTAACCCTGCATTTCCCATGGCCAATCCACCTACACATCTTTGGGAGGAAACTGGAGCACCCGAAGGGACCCTCACAAAACACAGGGTGAATGTGCAAACTCCACACAGACAGTCGCCGGAGGCTGGAATCTTTGCTGCTCCTTAGGAATTTTATACCACAGAGTACTGTGGAGGCTCAGCCTTTGAATAGTATAATATAGAGATTGATAGATTTATGATTACCAGTGACATACAGGGTAAAGAGGATGGAGCAAGTGAAAGGTACTGAAGTGTTCAATCAGCCATGTTTGTATTGATTGGTGGGGCAGGATCGATGAACTGAACTCCTCCTGTTCCTATATTCCCAGACTGCCCACATTTTCCATTCACACAATTATCAACAATGCTTTTAGTTCGAAGACTTCTTAATATTTGTTCAAATTCTTTGGGCATAGCTTTATGGGAAAGTATTTCCCTCTCAGCAGGGGAGGTAATCGCCTAGTGGTATTATCAGTAAACTTTTAATCCAGAGACCTGGGTTCAAATCCTACCATGGCAAATGGTGGAATTTGAATTCAAGAAAAAGAAATCTGGGATTAAGAGCCTAATGATGACCATAAACTGTTATCAATTGTCGGGAAAAACTCCAACTGGTTCACTGATGTCCTTTAGGAAAGGAAAACTACCATCCTTACCTGGTCTGGCCTACATGTGATTCCTGTCCCACAGCAATGTGGTTGACACTCAACCACCCTCTGGGCAGTAAATGCTGGCCTGGCTAGAGATGTCTATGTCCTGTGAATGAACAAAAAAACAGAACAGTACTTGGTCAGTCAGAATGGGACTCTCAGAGACTTTCTTAGGGTCAGATTTGTCCAATGGTATTGTTTTCTCAGAGGTGGCCATCTTGTTAGGGAGAATGGGAGGGTGGGCCAGCTGGTTCCTGAGACCGGACACCTGCACATTGTAAGAACGGCATTGTTATGGAGTCTGGGAGCTGTCCCTGTAAGAACGTGCTACAGAGAGGCAGACTCAAGGAGGAGAAGTGATAGCAGTGTCCACACTGAGTGCTCTAGCCTCGAGGACATTAATCTGCTCAATAACATGGCTGTGATATGGGCAGACAGCAGCCTTGCTCATCACTGGCTGTGAGTCCTCAATGCTTTCCTCCACAAGAACATTCAGCCCATCAAATCTGCTCCCCCATTCAAAGAGATCCTAAGCTGATACAATAATCCTCAACTCCACTTTCCTGCCTTTTCCCCATAGCTCTCAATTCCCTGTAAGAACAAATTACTGCAGATGCTGGAATCTGTGCTGAAAACAACAAATGCTGGGAGATCACAGCAGGTCGCAGCATCCATGGAGAGAGAGCAAGCTAATGTTTCGAATCTAGATGACACTGTGATCTCCAGCATTTGTCACTCTCAATTCCCCTTCCTGATTAAAAATCTCTCTCTCTCTCACTCAGCTTTGAATATAGTTAATGGCCCAGCCTCTGCAGCCCTCTGCGGTAAAGAATTCCACAGATTCAGTCCCCTCTGAGAGAAGGAATCCCTCCTCATCTCTGCTGTAAATGCCCTAATCCCCTTATTCTGAGATTATTCCCTCTGGTCCTAGCCTCCCTCATAAGGGAAAACAACCTTTCTACATCTCCCCTGTCAAAACCCTCTAAGGATCTTGTCTGTTTCAATCAGGTCATTCTTCCAAACTCCAATGAGTACAGGCCCAAACAACTCAACTTTCCTCCATATCCAGGATCAGCGGAGTGAACCTTCTCTGGGCTTTCCCAAATGCCAGTCTGTTTTTCGTTAGATAAGGGGAACAAAACTATTCACGGTATACCCCAGCTGTGGTCTGATAGTGCCTTGTGTAGTTTTAGCAGGACTTCTCTAATTTTATTCTCCATTTCCTTCAAAGTAAACACCAGCATTCCATTTGCCTTCCTTATTCTCCTGCTGAACGTGGATGGTAGCTTTTGGTGAGCTATGGCTGCATGAGGAGTCCCAAATCCCTCTGTGCTGTAGCTTTCTGCAGTCTTCCCCCATTTACATAATATTCAGCTTCCGTATTCCTGCCAAAATTCACAACGTCACATTTTCACATTATGTTCCATCTGTCAAGTTATTGCCAGCTTGCTTTGACTGTCTACATCCCTCCGGAGTTTGAGTCATCCTCGCCACTTGTCTTCCCACCTAATTCTGTGTCATCTGCAAACTTGGTCACAGAACATTTCCTCTCCTCATCCACATCCACATCCACATCATTAATACATACTGTAAATCATTCTGGCCCCAGCACTGATCCCTGTGGCACTCCACTAGTTACAGGTTAGCATCCTCCTTTGTCCCAACTCTCTCTCCACAAATAAGACTAAAAGACAGTCCCTCAGGACCTGGAAAGCTGGATCCAACATATCACATAAAAATGCATCCTGAAACTACACCAGTGAGCCTGTTTGTACGCGGGAAAGTTTATAATCTGCTCTTGCCAAAAGTGAAGAAGAAAATTGAGTCCATGTTGAAGCAGGGGATTATCTCAGCTAGGACAGACGAAGAAGCTGCTGCCAGAGACAGTCCCATTGCTAAAATCCAACGGGTCCATCAGATGTTACACAGCTGAACAATACAGTCGGACATGAAATTTGTCCAATGTTGCCTGTGGAACCAGAGTGAACATAAATTGGGAAAGAGTTCAAGCCTCATGAAGCTCGATATAAATAATGCCTTTCGGCAATTATCACTCAGTGAAGAGTCTACGTTCACAACACAACCGTTCTTTCATTTGGGATTACCCCTTGGTGTCACATCAGCCCCGGAATGCTTCCAAAGGACAATGTGAAACGTTCGAGAAATGCAGGCTGGAATTGTACGGGATTGTCCTCATCAATGGATCCAGTCAGACAGAACACGACAAGACGGTGTGAAAGTAACCCATACACTCAATACCAAATCGTAATTCTGGCAGCTGACTGCCTAGTTCCCTGCATGTGTTATGGTTACGACCCATACATCCAGCAGCAGAATTATACTCCGGCTCAATCTGTAACCTCCGCATATCCCCCATTCAATCATTACCAACGAGCCAAAGGAACAGTGTTGTTTCAATGGAGAGTGCAGGAGGCCATGCCAGAGCAGCACCAGGCATGCCTGAAGATGAGGTATCAACCTGGTGAAGCTACCAAACAGGACTGCTTGCACACCAAACAGCGAAAGCAACAAGTGATAGACAGAGCTATGTGATCAATGGATCAGATCTAAGCTCTGCAATCCTGCCACATCCAGTTGTGAATGGTGGTTGATAATTGAACAACTCACTGGAGGAGGAGGCTCCACAAATATTCCCATCCTCAATGATGGAGGAGCCCAGCACATCAGTACAAAAGATAAGGCTGAAGCATTCGCACCAATCTTCAGCCAGAAATACCGAGTGGATGATCCATCTCGGCCTCCTCCAGTAGTCCCCAGCATTACAGATACAAGTCTTCAGCCAATTCAATTCACTCCACGTAATATCAAGAAACGGTTAGAGACACTGGATACTGCAAAGCCTACGGCCACTGACAACATTCTGGCAATAGTACTGAAG